ACGAGGGATATCAGCAGTCCTCTACTGAAATTAGTGCATTATGAAATTTAAATTCAATCTTGCTTTTGGGAAAATAAATAATCCAAAAGTCCTTTCTTCTTACAGTGCTTCTCTGTATTTATTTATTCTTTATTTTGATACTATGAATAGATCCCACAAAAGTTGAAGAACATCCTCAAATGCAAATGCACTTTTCAGCCAATTATTTTTCTAAAACATTTACAATATAATTCAAAGCAAAAGAGAAATACAAACACTTTAACTACTCTTGCTTTTCATGTAGGTAGCAGTAGGTACAAATGATAAATAACATTCCTATTTGATTATGATCACAATCATAAAGCTCACGGCAGAGTGATGGCTTTAATAGTTCAAATAACCTGACTTAGGCTTTAGGTTCAAAAGGGCTAATCTCACAAGGAGGGAAATGTAAATTTTAAAGGAAAGCATTCAAATTCTATTGAAATATTTCAAGATTATACCTTGTTCACACAAATTCATCTATTTAAAGAATTCCAAATTTGGCAAGTAAGGAGAAGGACTTATTGGAACTTATAAATCTTATAAGGACTTCCCTGTCTTTGGGAGGGGAGGACAACTTCAGTAAAACAGACCACCCTTTCTCTCTCTCTGTAAATCAGATAAATGTTTTTGATCATTAAGCATGAAAAGAAGGGAATAATAAATGGAGGATAACTCCCTCAATATTGACCGGAATACAAAGACATGCAATTTTCTAACAAAATCATTTAGTCCTGTGCTGCCGGTATCTCCTCCCATGCACTCTCAAATGAAACAAGATTCTCATGAAAGAGTGAGTGAACCACACTGTGGAATCAGTACACTTGTTTGACCACAACAGTGTTCAGGAGATAGATGGCTACAGGCTTTCAAAAATTGCGCTAAGTATTAAAACCCTTTTTTAACTGTAGTTTGGTAGCCATGAATTCTGTATTTGCAGGCTTCTCTGTAACTCAGTGATGTTTCTTGTTTCGCAGTAATCTTTGCTTTTTTATTTTCACAATCCCTTCAGGATCATATCCTTCTGTTAACCGTGATGAAGAAGAGGAAATGTTTCCATCATGTGGATACAATTGATTCACAGCTTAACAAATTCAGAAATAAAAGGCTATCCAATATCTAGACCATCTTTTTAGGAAGTTGCAGTGCTGTACAGCACAGTAAGATATTGGCCTACTGAAGCATTATGGCATGAACTTAAAGCTCACTTTGTACTGCTTTGGTCTTGAAATATGAAGATATTATGTCAAACAACATCCTACTTTTCTGTCTCTGCTTCATAGCATTGGTTTTTAGGTAAAATACCACTACTTCTGCACGAAAGTTGGATTAGCAGACTGGTGCTATAGGTTCAGTATTTTCAGCTATTTATGAGGTAAGATAATAACAAATGGATTTGCTCCATAAGATACTTCTGTTGTAATCTATTGAACAGATTTTCATTTTTGTGGACAAACCTTCGACTATGCTTACCAGCTAACCACAGTTGTCAAACATCATGCCCTGTAGTCTGCCATCTTTGCTTAGATTAAAGAGCAAGGAACAGTGAGGAACATCTAGATTCAAAGGGCTAGTGAGATAAGGATAAAGCCTAGGAGCAATGTGACTTGACTCCATCTGGAAGCAATGGAAAAAGAGACTAAAAAAGTTGTAATGAGAGTAGAGTGCTACTAGTGCAGGGCAAGGAAAGTATTCTTTTACTCAACTAAAACACAAATACAGGTTTATGGGGAAACCAATGTAAAAAGAGAAAACTAGATTAAGATGATTAAAAAAGAGGCATGACACAAGCAGAACATTGAAATATTGGCTAATAACATTGACTTACATTTTACTTAAAAAAAACCAACTTGTATACTTCTTTTTGTGCACCACCCAGGACGATTGGCATTTTTATTTCAGTGTCTCTTCTCCTTCTGTTGCTACAATGAACCACTGAGAAATACGGATAAAATCATAGGCACAGATTTTTGGAAAAAGTCTAATATTAACTCCCTGTTATAATTTCTTGAAAATTTTTATTAAAATGAGAAAACAAGAAATATTTTACAAATAGTATACTCAAGAGGCAAAGGGCTTTTTATTGACATAAAGTTGTATAAATATGTATTTGATTTTTGATCTATGACAAGGGAAAATTATTTTTCAGTTCACAGACAGAGGGCATGATAATTAGAAAAACACTTTTCCTTTGAAATCTTCGCTGGATATGAACTGGAACTGTTCACAGCATCAGAAAGTAACAGCAACTCCTTGGCTGGCACTGAGCTGTGACAAAGCCAATCATTTCTGTGTTACTGCTCAATGCTGATTATGAGGCTGCATTACTCACATGGCAGGAAAGCGAAAATATTATTTAGAAATGGTGATCCCTCTCCAAATATTGAAAGAATCATTGAAGTAGGCAAAAAGGGAAAAACATTTAAATGAACATTTTCCCCCTAGGATTTGTTCTAGAATCCTACTATTGTTTCAAGTTTGTGTACCTTACTGATGCTGTCAAGTAATTTAATCTAAATTATTACATTTTCCAATATTTATACTATTAGAATAAGTCATTCTGCATCACTTTCCAACATTTATTGTTATAAAGTCAAAATATGCAGAAGTGCATGGTAATACAGAAATTAATTAATTCACATAATAATCTTCATGACAATCCTTTAAAAACTTGTTAGTACTTAGAGACCTTTTGGGAGTGCCAATGCTTTATTCCAACATATGTCATAGGATTTATATTTTCAGGATCATTACATTTCAACCTTACATACAATGCACTTTTGACATTCAGCGCTCATTTCTCTTCCTCATGAGATCGATGTGTCCTGAGCCAGTTTTTATTCTCTCGCTCGTCCATCTTTCATTCCCACATTTGTATGCAATCAGAGTACAAAGAAGAAGTCTCAGTGAGCAAAGTGTGCAAGTTTGCACTAAGCCTACTTCTTCCTTGCTGTTTCCCATAAGGTAGGGTTCCACTTAACCGTGCACTTTACTGCTCCAACCTGTCTGCCTTACTGTATTACTGCTGTATTTCTTTCATATTTCTTGATGATTTGCTTGATGGCATATAATGAAAAGATAAGGCCACAAAAAGCTATACTCTAAATTACAGTAAGTATTGCAGGGTAGTCAAGGTATCTTCAGTACGGTCCATAAGCCATCACAGTGCATACATTCCACGTTTATGTTGGGGTACCATGAGACCTTAGAGCCATCCTCACAATGCGTGTCCTAGATATTTGGTAACTGTGTGCTTGACTTCAAAGAGAATTGGGAGGAGAGGGAAGAATGAGACCAAGTCTTGCTCAACATCCTTTGCAAAGTTTGGGTTACCATGCACTCCTTTGTTTGGAACTCGGGCCATTTCTGAACTAGGAAGGTTTTCGTAGTTCTTTCAGTAAGATGAAATATTTTCTAGATAAAAATTGCAGCTAACTCTGGGGTGAAAATAGAATTGAATGTCTGAGAATCAATATTTATTCATTTTAAAAACTATTTTATTTTACTCCTGAATTATTAAAAGCTTCAATCTCTGTTTTTTTTTGTCTTTTAATATATATAAAGAATAGATCAATCCTGACTGCCTAAATTTTAGTGTTAGAGGTTCCTCAGGGATTTCTAGGACTACCGCAATTCAATTTGTAACTGGAAATGATTCCTCCAGGTACCTCAGTTATGATTTCAGATCCAGAAGTCTGTCTGAGCTCTTCTTGTGTTATAAATCAGTTCAGAAACACACTAGGAATCCAAATCAATCCTCAGCTTTACTGTGTAACAGCAATGCGTTTAAGCGTTTCCGATAAACATACAATTTAACAAATCCGCAAATCAGAGTGCAGTTCCTAGCATCAACCAGGATTCTCTACTGTGCTTTTCTATCCCAAAAGATAATTTTTTTTTAAGGAGCAGCTTGCCCTTTTGCAGGCTAAGTTTAGAAAGGCAGATTTTAAATTATTTCATTCATGACTTCCTAATTTCAAGAGAATTGTGCATACATCTTGTTTTCGTAATGAAAATTATTTTCATTACGAAGATTCTTATGTGGATTAATTTAACAGGGAATTTTTTTGGTGGCTACTCACCTTCGTAAACTGATTTGAAAGCCCTGTTCTATAACATTGTGTTTTGTTTTCCTCTAGTTTAAAAAAATGCAGTCCTACAATACTCACCCAGGCTCACTGAAACTGAAAACTGAGGAAGGAGCGCAGGATTGGCCCCTCGCTGTAAAGCCCACGACACATGGTGCTGAGATTAACAAAACAAAGTACAGCAGCTATGACTTGGCACAAAGTTTGACAAGCTGCAGAAAAGCAAATGTTTAAATAACTGAAGTGGTACTGATTTTCTATTCACAACCTTTTCTCTTCTAAACAGTATCATATTCTTTTCCAGCACATTTAGATCGCAAGTCAAGCTGTGTTTTATTTTTTATTATAATAAACCCAGTCAGTTTACTGTAACAAAGACATACTAGTGGTGATCAGTGTGAAAGCCAGTACGAAATCAGGCTAGGAAAAAAAAAGTCAAATGGCAAAATAAAGGACCAGCCGTCTGGAAAGTTCCTGGATCATGTAAAAAGAAAATAAAAGGCTGTGTTCTTATGAGACTAATGCAGAATACAAAAATATTTAAAGACAAAACTCTCTGTCGTTGCCTACAACATTTGTTAACAGCAGCCATAAACCTTACAAATAATGTCGCATTTATTAAACATTTTCCAAGCCCATCTAAAACAAAATATTGGTATTTTTTTCTTCTAAACATTTCTAGTAGCATTGTTTGTATCTATTCCTCTCAAAATACCACACACAAAAAACAAAACCCTAACATAGTTTTGCAATGGCTTTTTCACCTGTAAAGCAACTTCCTGACCTGAAAAACAACCACATTCAATCTATGGGATATTGCAAAAGTTTTGTGCATTTTATTATATTTGCAATAAATGATGGTTCATGAAAATGTTTACACAGATATCTTACCAGATTTTTATATAATGATCTTCTGTTTTCAAGTTCTGCCTTCATCTCTTCTTGAAATTCAATCAACTAAAATACAAGCACACAAGGATTAGTGTTGGATTTTGTATTCCAGACAGGCATAATTCTCTAAAAATTATTTCTAGAGACAGTTCCCTTATCAAGAGACAACACATGGACAAACATTTCTTTATTAGTACTGGTAGTAGATAGGGATCTTGATTTACTGCTAGCCACTTTCCTTTGGGATTTAATAGTGCCACGAGTCACAAAAAGCCTTCTGAGGTAAGTAAAACAGAGCGTGATGTCACAGGAGGCAGGAAGATGACAAAAACATCAGAAACAGAGAGTTCACTGATTTGAACTCTCAGAAATGTGGCTTGTAGACATGTACACACTTGTAGAAAAATGGCAGGATTGCAAATAATCAGCAGAGTTCTAAAAGATCTGTGTGAGATAAGATTTGTCAGCAAATGATACACGGGTCTCATCAATGACAAAGAGATGTGACTACAGAAGAGTGAAAGAAGGATTTGTCAGGGATTCTCCAGCAGTTTCAGAATCAAAACATGCTTAAACATTACACCGTACAGCAGTGTCCTTGAGTTCTGCTGGATTGGAGCTGTCACAGTTGCTGTCAGTCGGGACCGGCAAGTTAAACATCTATATTTCCCAGTGTGATGAGGAACAGAGTTTGTTGCTTACTGAATTTGCATTTAGAACATTATTAAAACCAGACAATGTTGAACACAACACTGTCATTCATTTTCTTTCATAAAAATGGAGAAACGCTCCCCTTCAGCACAATAACCCAGAAGCTGGAATGCTCAGCCGCAAATCAGGGCAGCTCACATTGTGTGCCTCTGGGAGTTTTATGGGGCTTGATTACAATATCCCAAGTCATGGAAAAGTGCCTTAACTACCACTCTGTGATGAGAATAAGCCACCAGTTCTGTTCAAGCTGTGCCATTGGACTCAAAGAATATGAAATTCATGAGACTAGATACAGAATGCTCACGCATGAGCTTCACCACATAGCAGAGCTGTGACTGCATGAGAAAGAGGAATGCTGTGTTCTGACATGCTGGATCGTTTATGAATTTTACATTAGACTACAAGAAAAAAACACCAGACAACCTCACACACTGCACACGGACACATAAAAACCAAACACAGATACTCAGTAATAATTCAAAGAACAAACTTAGGGGAAAATTCCTTCCTCCATGTATCCCTGCCAGTACTCCAGAGATTATGGCTCTTGTTTTAAGAGAATATTTTCCAATCAGAACACAGTGTAAATGAGCAGTTAAATCACTGCTATACAGAGCTATCTACTCAAACATCCTTGAGTTCACCAATTAGCAGAATGCTAGGCATGCACTCTAGTCCTTGGGAGAAAGTCAGTGCTTGCCATCTCTCATGATGCTTTGAGAGGAGACTGGAGAGCTGGGGCACAGCTGGGCTCAGCTGGGCTGTCTGGGCACAGGGAATCCTGTCAGACTCCAATTCCTAACTACAAGACATATAACAATATTTTCTAATTAGTCCAAGTAAAAGACAGTGCTCTGAGCCTGTTGCACCATCATTTACTGTTTCAACACAGAGTGTGCTTTGAATTTCATCTTTAAGCCTTGACTTTTCCTTGTGTAGTGTGTATAAGAAACTGGCTGGCATCTGGACCAGTTTTGTAAACTCCACTTCTGGAGCGAGAAGTCCAGCTGCTGAGCACTACAGCAGTGCGTGCCTTCTGGTCAAACTCCTCATATTAAAAATAAAGGCTTTCTAATGTAAGAAGAATTTAACCATATTCTGGTTATCGAGAGAATAGCTTCCAGTGGGATATGCAGAAGAGGGAAAAAAAAAATCAGAAACGTCAATAATGTAGTTTATGTTTTAGAATTGTATTTTTTTTCTTTTGGGAACAGAATTACAGTTATCAGAATTGTAATGAGAAGGGCTTCTCCAAAGGCTTCTGACAGCACTCCAATCTTATCTACTTGGCAGAAAGTACAGCAGTCATGAAGGGCTACCTGTGTGGATAGTGGAATTGGAGGAAGTTTGGGATTAAAGCATGTGATCCATATTTACACAAATGAAGTGCTTTGAAATCACATGAGAGATAGGTAGAAGAGTTCCTACACTGCTGCTCAAATCTCCCAGCTGAGGGAGAATCTGCAGGAAAATGTGAGACAAAAGCCTCTATTGCACTGAGATGAAGTGAAGAAAAGGAAAATAAAAAGTAAGCTAGAGGAGAAAAAACTCTGTTCTGATGACTGGCACTTTCAGCATAGTGGGATTTCAAACCTGAGGGGGATTCCTGAACACTGTCAGACCTTAACAGCCAAAACACTAACAGAAGCATCCCTTCCTTGACAATGCAGTGAAGTAGGCTGACCAACTAGTTCTCCATTTCCAATTTTAGATTTCATGCATAGTATCCTTTTTTTAAACTTTAATGAATATAACCTTTCAATAGTCCTTTAGGGATAAGTAGGTTTCTGTATTTTAGAGTGGGAAACTTGGTCATAGAAGGCAGATTCATCTACGGTCACAAGGAAAGCCAATGAAAGGAAGACTTTAGAATTCCAATGCCTTAGCTCACCATCAATTTGTGTTTTTAACATTAAGTTTTGTGAGAACTTTGTAATCCTTAATAAGCACAAAAAAATGTCATTACTTCCCTTAAGATTTACCACAGGTAAGTGAGTTTTCTACAGAATCTCTTGGGATTTTTTCACAGAAGGAATGTTCTCTATAGAAAGAAGATTTGTGACTGTTTTAAAGTTTTCTATTAAAAATGAATAGATCTCAGGAATGAAATATATGCCTTGCAGAAAAAGTCATTTGAGAACTGTCACAAGACAGAAAGGCACTGGAAGGATATGTAGAAGTTATAACAAGTAAACTCTGAGATCTGTCCATGTTTTATCATTTGTTACCAAACGGATATTAGCGTTGGAAATGTTTTTTAGAAAGTTGTGTTTTATGCCTTGCCTAGCTACTGTGTTGCTCAGATAACACATAAATAATAAACCACAAATAATTATAGGTCTATCCATGGGTAATGGAATATTTTACAAATTGTAGGTTACTAAAAAGGCTTTTGTTGGATGTAACTTGCTATTTGCTCTTATCCTGCCTTCAAAATCTTACTGAATGCATTTCTTTCTATACTAAAGTAGTCCATCATTTTAGTGTAGTATACTGAGGTTCAGAACTTTCACTGTATTTCAACAAAATTATACAATATGATGGGTCAAGAAGCAACCATACTCATTAAAGGAACACCAGCTCACTATTACTCTACAATGAGTTATACTACCATAAAACATAATGTAACATTATTCAAGTCTGAGACTATTTTTCAGCTTCCTAGCATTGTTTGGTCTATACACTGCTAACAGTCCACGCCTGTTAATGGTCCTCCAGGAGTGTAGCTAACAAATGTAAAAATTACCATACCTGTTGAATAGTTTGCTCATCACTTTCCATTTTTAATTGCATTCTTTGAACTTGCCTATCTGAAAACAAGAGGAGAAAGAGAAAGCATGAAATTATACGCCTCCATTAATGTATGCAAAATGTTTGCTTCAGGTCAGTCTATAAACCTGGTGGAATGCACAGTGGAGCAGTCCTGGCAGAACGGTGACCTTCATCACTGCCCTTGACATTCACAGCCTTCTTCCTGCTGTTTGGCCGGCTGGTCAGATTGAGATTGAGAAGTAAGTTCAAGAGCCAAGTGTGACTGAGAACCCATAGCTTTTCATTAATACTATTTATGGACATCCTTGCTGTTAGTCACAGCCAGTACAAAGTGTTTTAGCAGGTGGTTCTTCATTGTTCATGCAAAACTTCCAAAAGATAAGAAGCACCATTGAATCAGATGATAAGCAGGAATCAGGAATATTTTCTACGTCGAATTCATCTTGCTACTATTAAAGACAATACTGGGTCTAAACCACATGGATGTAACAAAATTAAACAGCCAAATTCTAATCTATTGCTACAGTTTCCAGTTCTCCATTAAATATTTTATAAAGGAAACATACAAGAAGCAACCTGTTGGTAAAAATTGCACATTGTAGGTTTTTTGTTTTTTTTTTTTTAAATCTCCTTTTAAGAACTGTAATAAAGCAAAAATATCGGAAGCATAGATTATTTCAAAGAAACAATTTCTGTTAGAAAACTTCCTCAGAAACACTGAAGTACATAAACAGATAACAAAATGTACGCTTGGATATTTTGCAGAAGCTCAAAATCTAGCCCAGAGAGAATTTCATGTAATGAAGATAAAATAGCAGATTGTCATTTAAAAGCAAAAATACTGATGTATAATGCTGTTCTACTTCAGTAACTTTACAGCACTTATCTGCCAAAAATATAAACTCAACTGCATTGCTAGGCAACATTACAAGTCTCAAAAGCCACAGCAAATATTCCTTTGTCATAAAATAAAAATATGTAAATATATGCATTAAAATTAGAATAAATGTGTATGACTTTCTGTACAAATACACACAAAATTAGCATTTAATACCAAAAAAAGACAACAGCCCGGGAAGAAGTTACAATACTTCTGAAGTGCAGTAACAATTAATTCCTACTTCAGCAACATTTCAGCTGAACATCTTGAACCACATCAGCTTAAAGTTTTACCTAATGCATGCTTTTCTTTTTCAGAGTGTTGCAGACAATTCTCAAGACGAGCAACCTCGTTGCGTAGTTTGAAAACCTCTTCTTTGAACTCTTCATTCTCTTTTTCAAGCTTTTTGTTTCCACGGTCATCGTCTTCAAAGACAACCTAAAAGATTGCAGTGCCTTGAATTTATAAGTGAGGAATCGGGGGATTCAACATGCTGCACTGCTATAATATTATACAACACAGTATCATATAATTTCTGAATTCTATTACAGAGTCATAATATGAATAGAAAAAAGTTGAGGCTCTAAATAGGTTCCTGCAAGAAGAAAGGCTGCAGTACATTATATACAAAGACTATAACACATGGGGACATTTTATTGACAGGAATAATGCATATCATACTGTTTGTGTGCCCTCATCATTCAGGTCAATTTATTATGGAGGCTGAGTCCAGGAAGGCAGCTGGGGCCTATCCACCCACACTTCCCCCCGTGTTTCTGAAGCGCTGTCCGTAACTAGGCAGGCAGGAGAGGCTGCGGACAGGCAACACCAGGGGGTTGCAAAGTGCATGGCTAAGGAGGGGGGCTTGTTGCCTTTGTGCCATTTCTCAGTGACAGTGCTGCCAGTGTCATGAGGAGCACATCACATGTCAAAGCGGTGAAGTTTTCAGGCTGGGAGCCGCATGGAGTCCATCAGGCCTTCTGATATCAACACAGTTGGTTTGCTACTTGGTGTCGGAGCCACCCAGAGGCAATTCATATTCTGAACATTAACATGGCTTTGCATGCCTGTCACACATAGACCGTGCAGGGGTTTAATGCTATTGAAGACTACGGTTTAAATCTCTATGCAAACAGTGATTACCTTGTAAGAAGGTTCCAGGATAACATACAACAAAAGACTTTAAAGTTATAGTTTTAGTAAAGCAAACTCATTTACATTTTTATTATGCGTGTCCTTTGTTTAAATCTTGCCACGTCCATTATGGAAAAGACTTCTTATGCAACTGGAGCTTATTGGGACAGCTACTCTTTTTTTCTTGTTGGTCTCAAAGCTATTGAAAACATTTGAATATATTGTCTTATGGCTGTCTAGATTTTACTGCCACATATTTCTTTCAAAATTATAGAAAAGCTTTCAGAGCTGGCACGGATCTTTATAGTAATACCGGAATATTAACTAACTCCTGGATCTCTTTAAAATATTAACACAAAAGAGAAGATTCAGACAGCAGCTACTTTGCTTCCTAAGGAAAATTTAGGATGCTGTTTGCTCTGCTTGGTAAAAATATGAACTCTGTTTAAAAAAAATTACTTGAAAATAAAACCCTGAGGTTTTCAAATGACATAGAAACTTGAACTGTAAGGTACTTAGGGGTAACATTTAGCCCAGAACTTTCTGTTTTGCCTCAGAAAAACATTTTTGATCTCAAACTAACCAGAACAGATTATCACTGTATTATATAAAGTTTTGGCCACAACGTTTCCATTGATTTTATAAGAAATCGTGTAAATAAAATGCAAAGCATTCTGAAAAGTAATTCATGCAAGCTTGTGCTTCTCCATCATTTACTGAAGAAATTTTACTTAAAGAGCAAGTTTTCTTAGCAAACACGTTACTTCCAAGAATGCAAGGTGTCTTCATAAAGTTGTGAAAAATGTTTCAACAGTATTTCACCTTAAACAATCCTTGTGCAGCAAAAAATTTGCTAGATGGCATGTTTGTTTTGAGAAGCTGTATCAAGCTCAGGAAACAGCAGCGCTAGGAGAACAGCACGTGCAATATTGGAGTGCTAACTAACTCTGCTCAGGCTGTAGTCAGCTCAGCCCACTGCAAAACCAACTCCGGATCTCCGAGCTTCTAAGAAGCGGTTACAGCTCTTCATAGGCTGAGGTCCGTTTGTTCCTTTCTTCAGGCAGTATTCGAGCAACAGCCGATGCTCGCAGAAGAACCTTGAGTTTATCGTAAAGTAAGCCCAAACGATTGAATGAATCCCGTGAATAAGTTTTAAACGGTGCCACAACTACAAGCGTATCCGCAGTCCTTTAGTGCTTTCATGAAAGGATACAACACTTTCTCCGCCTGGACTTTGCACATTACCGAGGCAGCCTTTAGCTGTAGCCCCACCGCCTGCCAGGGACCAGAACTGCACGTCATTAACTATTCAGGCTCCTGCTGCAATGAGGACACTCATTAGCAAAACGAACAAAGGGACAATTTTCTGTAGCTACAGTCATCTGTTACACTTTGAGTGGCAGGTTTTGTAGCAATGTTCTCTCTACCATCTGCCCACAGCGGTAGCGTTTGGCTTGCTTAAACTGGGGAACTTTCAAGATGTAAGAAAAAAGGGCTGGAGGGCTGGAAGGCAATTATGACACGGCTTAGCCAAGAGACTTCAGCATTTCTCACCTTATCTATTTCATTATCTCCATTCTAACAGTTTTAATACTTTAAGATAAAAAAAAAAAAAAAAAAAAAGTATATGCTAAGTCTAAATAAATCCAATTACACTTTTATTAAAGTGATATAATGCAGGTTGTTACCTGCATGCATTAGGCATTTCTAATTATATTAAATATGCATTCATAATTTTGGGCAGTAAAAAAACTTAAATTAGATTTATCCACCTATAATGACAATATTAAAGGCAAATGGCCTTGAGGTAAAAGTGAGAGAATACAGCTATTTATTATGTAGTTGTGAAATTCACATTTGCCTTTGGCATCTCAAAGTATTTAATATGCACACAAGATAACTAAAGGGACACTTGAAAAACAGGTAGGATTTTTGCCCTTTTAATGCAAAAACATACAACGAAAATTACTGATGCTATCATATGATACCAAAAAAGACAACACTTGAGCATGTTTCAGATAAAACTATAAACTGCAGTTGTTATTGCTGTTAGTTTTTTATGAACTTGCCTTGGTAAAAAAGTAACTGTAGAAAATCTGCCATTTAAGTTATCATCTCCCTTTTCCTTCCAAAGCTATAAATTTAAAGTCTATTATTTACACCACAAGAGGGTGCAATGGTACAAGTCGTCATGAAAAACATCCACAATACAACAGTTTTGAGTTGCAGGGGAAATGATCATTCCAGTGTTTATTTACATTTATTGTTGGAAAATCATACATCCGTAACAAGAGTACATTTATAACAATAATTGTTTCATTTTCATGCTTAAAATGTCAAGGTTGAAAGTGGAAGGTTCTAGTATGGCCACTGCTTGCACAAAGCCATTACTTTTCAGGCAGTCACACTGCTATTGCACTCTTATCTTCAATTCAGCTAATGGGTATACTCTAAAAGGGCTTCCAGTCCTCCAGGATCATTCAGGGGATCAAGATTCTACCACTCCTCTGATAACATACTTCAACTGGCTATCATTTTCCTGTGTATTTTCATCCTCTGGACACTGAATTTTATTATATCATCTACGTAGGTCTTTTAAATGTAACAAAATGGAGGCATCAGAAAGGATAGGACTAACAAATTACTACTGGCCCAGATAACTCCTTTCATTCTTTAAGGCATGTCAGAGACAGAAAAGAAGTTCAGATGGCATAACTTTGGAATGAGAATAGGCATTTCAGTGCAAATTCCTTGACAGGGGAAAACAGAGAATGTTTCCTTTTGCATAAAAGCAGAATTCTCAGAGAACAGATAGAGTTAATTCCTCATTTCCATGTATTTTTTGAGTTCTTTCACTGGGTAATGAGGGCTTTGCCTGAAGAATATTTTATCTCTTTCACAGATTACACAAAGGTCAGGAGCTGCACAGCACCCCATCTTATCAGAGTGACAAATAGAACTGTAGATATTTACCCTACAAGCTCCACAGTCTGTGTTACTAACATAGAATGAACTTCTTATAAGAGAAAACTTCACCAATATGCCTCCTAGCTTTCCTGGTAGGCAAAGGGCCTCATCTGTATCTACCTTCCTCTTCGTGAGGTCTGAAACTAGAGACTTACAGTATTTTCCACAACTTAGTGGAAGGTCACATCACTAAATTTTAAGGCAGGACATATCTTACTGCAGCACGCTATCTTTTAAGCAGTGCTACTAAATCAAACAACTTGCAAAGATCTTGTGTTCACAGGTACCACTCAACTAAATGCATATTCTTCCAAAATAGCAAAATCAGCTTTGTTGGAAAATAGGTTTTATGTAATCTGTGATGCTGATTAAGAAAAGTCACACTAAGTTTTCCATTATGTAAAACACCTACCACAAACCGGTCAGCTGTTTCTGGGGGGCTTCTAAATCTAAGCTCTCTTGGCTTCCAAGTCTACAAATGTGTGTTCTCTGCAGACATTCAGAATCCTTTGTAGTGGTTGATGAATCAGAAAGTAACTGTTACTCTGTGATAAAAGCATATGATTCTGCCTCCTCCTATACAGAACATATCTTTTTAAAAATTGCTCCCAGAGTTTTTTTCATGTTATTAACCACTCTTGTAGAGTGGTTAACTTTTACCTACTTGTATGTTCACACAATTACAGCCGCTTTTTTTCCTCCCAATATGTTAAGAATTTTTTTTTGTTCATAATATTGACATTCATATTACCATTTCATATGGAAACAGATGGATCACGGCCTGAACCTCTGATTGATCACCTGAGGTGAGCTCTGAGTCGGCCACAGGAGCACAGGTGAAGGCAATTCTCCTGTGCTGCCGGAAGGGTGGAGCCTGGCTGCACCTCTCCTAAGGCCCATTTAAGAGCTGACTGCCAGTGGGGAAGGAGCTCTTCTGGAGATCCACTCTGCTGGAGTTTTGTAATGAGCCTAGGACAAGGGTAAGCACTCTATTTATTCTCTTTTTGGTATAATAGCCTGCTTCGCCAAGCTCTCTTGTTTATTTTGTAATTGTAGCATCTGTATATTCATTGATTATGCACATTTATAGTCCTTTTTTTGCTTCATTATCTATTTTAAAGCCTTGCAAAACTTCCAATAATAGAAGGTGCCCAATGAGCAACAGAAGATACCCAAATGACGTAGTGAAGAAATAAAATGTACTCCTGGTGACTGTTGTAGCTAACAGACTGTTACAAAAATGAATTACTATCACTTCCTTCTGTTAACAAGGGCTAATGATGCAGCTTAAATATCCTGTTCTAGAATAGATTGCATAGCTGTCAATTCCAAACAGGGAGAGATATGTATGTTCCTCAGAGGATACATCTGAGACTCCGTCCTTTATGAGTAATACTGTCTAACTTAGGTGGCTGCCAGTAGAAGATGGCATTTTCAGATTTCTGTTACTGCTGTACATCTTAATGACGTGCAGGGAGCTGAGATCAAAAAGCAATCTACCACCAGACTTAGCTAAAAACTCTTTAGAAACTGAGACTGCTTCTTATCAGTCTAAAGTACATGAGAAGTCTGCAATGCCTCTTTAAACTTCTCACATTTCAGCAAGCTGCTGACAAGAGTTGTTAACTTTGGAAGGACATGTTTATATTACTGAAAGGAAAAGGAAATGATGTACAGAAATATGTGACTGAATTAAGTGTCCCATTTGAAGGCTACAGGATGAATAATTAAGACAGTTCTTAGCCATTAAGACTAACTATTTCTGTCTGTATTTGTGTGGGGAAAATTAGTCAAAGGGACTTCTCATGTCTGTGGATGGTTAACCTGGGTGGTTGTTGGACTCTGAGAACTGTTGCAGGAGTTAAGAGAAATCAAACATGAAAGATTTTAATCTTCATTAGGATACCTCAAATGCTGACTTAAATGACCAATGACACAATTCTGAACAAGAAAATATTTTATTTCGGAAGTTACATGGAGGCAGGAGGAACAAAGAGAAACAAGAGAAGTAATGTAAGTATAGAGATGAAATTTTCTGTAACTGAAATGGAATAAAATAGTGCTGAGAGCAATATTTTATTCAAGTATTACATTTTTAAACAAGCTTTTTTTTCTTCAGGATTTACAAAAATATCTTAAAATATTTTATTTTCTTAAAAACAGGAAAAAAAAAAAAACAACAAACCCACTGTATCTATAGTCAAACTATCACTGATTACACTATCACGTTGAATTGAGTGAAATAAATAGATCACTTCAGACTCCTTCAGTCAAAATACCTATCTTTAGCAAGAGATATTCCAAGAAGTGTTCTAATATTTTCCTATCTTTGTCTTTACTGGGAAAATAATGAAACCAGAGATCACAGAACTGTACGGGTTTGGAAGGATCTCTGGAGATCAAAGTCCAACACTGCTAAAGCAGGCTCCCTGCAGCAGGTTGCACAGGAAGTCATCCTGGAAGGTTTTCAGTATCTCCAGAGAAGGAGACTCCACAACATCTTTGGGTAGCTTGTTCCACTGCCCTGTAACCCTCACAATAAAGTTCTTTCTCGTGTTCATATGGACACAAGAAATTTCCTGTGTTCCAGTTTGTGCACGTTATCCCTTGTTTGGTCACAGGGCACTGCTGAAAAACCCTGATGCCACCCACTTGTCTTCTGCCCTTTATTTATAAGCATTGATAAGATCCTGCTTCAGTTTTCTCTTCTCTAGATGGAAAAGCTGTTCATCCTATGGGAGATGCTCCAGTTCACTCATCTCTGTGGACCTCTGCTGTACCCTCTAGAAGTTCCTGTCTTTCTTGAACTGAGGAGCCCAGAACTGGATACAGCACTCCAGACACGACCTCACCAGGGCAGAGAAGAGAGGAAGCATCACCTCCCTTGACCTGCTGGCTACTCTATTTTTAATGCACCCCAGGATACCACTGACCTGCTTGGGCACAGGAGCACACTGCTGCTCACAGCCAACCTCTTGCTCACCAGGACACCCAGATCCTTCTCTGCAGAGCTCCTCTCCAGCAGGTCAGCCTCTAATCTGTTCTGATGCTTGCAGTTATTCCTCCCCAAGTGTAGGACTCTGCACTTGTCCTTGGGAGCTTCTCTCTGCCCAACTCTCCATCCACGTTTTTCAGTGTTTAAAGGTTTCCAGGTTTAGTAACAAGTTTACAATCTTTTTAGAAAAACATACCACTTTAGTCCTTTCATTTTCTTGATATTCCTGCATTTTTCTTTTCAGATCTTCAATTATGGACTCTTTATCACACAGTTTGTCATGTAGAAACCTCAAAAGTTTTCCTGATGAACATTCTATATCTTCTCTATGTTGTAATACTTCTATTAGGAGATGAGATTACTTAATGACATTCTTGCATAAATCACATAGCCCCTTTTTTTTTTTTTAATGCTACAATTTTTTTTTTTTTTATTTGAGCACATCATAGTACACATTCCAGAGTTTCTGGTACTAAAAATGTTATTGTACCTGATATTTCAGATACTTAATTGAGAAATGTGTTATCTAATACCTAATCTATAGTAATAGAGAATTCAAACATGGCAAAGAAAGGAAAAAAAAAAAGGAAAAGCATATTCTATATGTTTAAAAACTTTTAAAGAACATATCTAAAACTCTTACAAGAAACAAAATAAAGTGCAGTGTAAGTACAGTGTAGCAAGATAAACTACTGAAATGTTAACTTCTGGATTACTGACATTTATTTTTGCATCTTGATTGTATCAGTAAGGTGTTTAAATTGCAGTAAAGGTTTTTAAAAAAGCATCTGCAATGATTGATTTGCTTCAATGCAGTAAAATCAGCCTTTCAGAGAAAAACAGAATGTGCAGCCCCATATTATACTGAAATGCCTGCCCATTGTGATGCACAGCCCGCAGTAACCATTAGGAAACACTATGCTCAAAAGTATGTGTGAGCTCTTCCTTCACGAGTACCTTGATTAAGTCATTTTTCAAGGCTAGGTGATTAAATATTGCTTAGCTTCTTTAAAATATAAATAGCAGCAATATTTGTCTCTAGTGCAATCCATTCATATTTGTTTGACTCCTTAGTGAGTGTTACAGTTTCATCCCAGAGCGTCCCACCTACTGAATTACACTCATCTGGCATGGGGTGAATCTCTACCTGTTTGCTGAAGCTGGACTAAAAGAATCCAAAAGTAAAAAGATCTTACAAGGGGAAAGTCAAATAAAGGGAACCCAAACCTGCAGTTCCCTACTGAGAACACTTTACTGAAAGCTCCTTGGAATACATATGCATTTTATTTTTACTACAGAATGATTCATGAACAGGAGCTGGGAAAGAGAACTTTTCAAACACAGTGACATTCGTGTTTTTCTATGTGGCTTGTGTGGCAGTGATCTGATCATACGTACTCATCTGCAATTCAGCTAGTAACCTTATTTTTACGGTGAAAGAAAGACAAAATTTAAGTTCCAAACTTTCTAAATTGGTTCATTCTTAGTATTTGTGTTACACTCTGGAATCTGGAACTCTGAAAATTTAAGGCACAGTTCCTAGAGCACAGTATAAAGTCATTAAGAGTGTACATGATTGGTCATCCTCCTCTTGTAGCCTGGGAATTCAATTTCCAAATCTATCGAGACATTCATTTCTGATTGAACCAAGCAGCATTATGTGATTACTATGTCTCTGCTTCTGAAGAGAGCCAGTCATAGCCTCTGTCTTATAAAACAACTTTCAAGTATGCAAAACTGCACAGCTCAACATGAGAGGAGGGGGAAAACAGGACTTGTAAAAAAACCAAAAACATATTTTTGTGCTATTTTCATTCTACTTGATGTGGCTTATATGCTTAGTCTTCATAGATTATACAAACACATCCTTCTCCAGGTATTGTCAGAACTGACTTATGACCTATCACTACTCCAATCAACAGTCCTTAACCTTGTGAATGGTTAAAACCTACCTTAATATTTCCTCTGAGAACAGCCAGTGCATCACATAACTGCTGTTGGTAACTTTGTCGAATTTGGACTTCTTTCTGGAATTTAATGTACAAAAAAAGGAAGCAGGCAATCACTAAAATAAGCAAGCAAACAAATAAACAAAAACAGACAAAAAACTTGCCTTCCGTGCCTTCCTTTCAATTTAAGAAAATTAAATACCATCGAAACTCCTGTGAAAGAGAAAACTGTATTTGTGTTCCTTTTTTTATCTTTTTCTTTCTTTTTTTTTTTTCATTCTTCAGTCTCTTTTTAGCTTTTGGCTAATCAATGAAACTGTATCTCTTTCTCTAGAAATTGAAGATTCCAAATTGCTTAAAGACAAGCACTTATTAAAGAGTTGTCTCAGATGTTTAAGATGGGAATTAATGCATTGGTTTTTTTTTTTTTTTTTTAATTTTACTTTTCATACGTTCACATCGGGAGCTTGGACATCTTGAAGGCTGAAAGTTGAATCTTGTTTCTCCCTTGTGGTGAGTGCTCACTAGTTGCATAGGACTACTAATGCTGGTGTGAGCTGTGGTTTACTATCTAAAGATCAGTGAATATATATTTTCAAAGAAATACATGGAAAAGAACTGTAAGTGATGTGTATGTACACATATATTTTAGAAATAACTGCACTAGAATGTAAGACACCTTCACAGCTATGGATGTTAATATGCAGAGTACAATGTAATCCATGTTTTATTAATTGCAAATTTACAAAAGACAACTTAGTCATTTTTAAAAAAATTTATATTAATATTTTGCTTTATCTTATTTTCAATACTTCTGTGAATTATTTTTATTAAATAAAACATCGATCTACAGAACAATGATGTACAAATGAGAACTGCCATCGAGTGAAGATTGACATTTAATGGAACAAGAACTTTTCTCTACCTGTTTATGAAAAGTCTCAATGTCTGTCAGTCTACCATTTACATATTTATAGAGATTCGACACTTGCTCTTCAATGTTTTCTTCATATTGTGCTTGAATGGCGCTTTTGTAGATGAACAAATCTTTCTGGAGGGAATTGGTGAGCTAAAAATAAAGATCCTGTTATTACTTATATACAAAGTAAACTAGACATACACACACACACATGCAAAAAAGGTGCAACTACTCTGTTCAATATGCTGTTGATGCTGATTATTCACCTAAATACAAGCATCTAATGCAGTTCTATACCTTGTGGTATCTCCTTTGGCCTACAACAGTCAGTTCAGAAGAGCACGTGTCTCTACGCTGGCAGGAGCTCCCTGTTCCACATCTACAGTGTTTGCTGCCAAATTAAAAATGCCCCTCAGAAACTTTCAATTCTGAAGAGAATATTCATGCAGTAAAGATATTTAACTTCCTCAGGAAATAATTATTTTTTGAATACTCAAGTCTCTGCCAGATGGTAATTAGTTACTGCAGAAGAGATCCAGACAGGTCTATCAATACAGATATCACAATGGAATCCTAGAAAGTGGTCAGAACATGTTCATAAAACTTAAACAAATAGCCTGCAAAGTTTTTTAGTGTAAAAGAGTAAAGATAACTGTATTTTAGCAAGAAGTAACAGAAGAAGTGTTAAAGGAAATGCATTTGGCTTTCCGCTGACTTTGATGAGGAAAACACTCAGAAATCTTTATGATGTACAACGTAGAAATAAATATTGCTTCTAAAAGCAATACCAAGAACATTGAATTTTTGCTCTTCTATATGTTTATACATTACTCATAATCTGGAATGACAAGTGTCTGTTTGTTTGTTTTTCCAAGGAAATTAAACTTTCTGCACACGTAATTACCTCACGTCCTGAAGCATTTTCTTTTGTAATTTCTTAACACAGTGAAGGGACAGATAGCAACATATCATTTTGATGTAACAGTTCTCCCTCTACAGGTCCCTGGAGGCATCTATCTTCACAAACAGTTAAGGCATTTACATTGAGAAAGCTTTATTTTTCCTTGTTATGGACTGCATCTTCGCTCCAAAATCTAAGCATTTAATTTCAGTAAGGCTCTGCTTACATTACACATCTGTCTAAGCAAGTGCAGATAATGCCATCTGAATCTTTTTTCTAACTTTGTATACGATTTGCACAAAGCAGAAGCTTTTCTACTACACTATTTCATTTAAGCAGAAGCAGCAGGGCACGTTAGCTATGCTCATAACTGACATGAGGCCCACATTTATTGCTACACTATTAGCTATGATCAGATGGGTTTGAGACTTTAGAATTTATCATTTTCAAAATTAAACAATGGCAATCTTGATGAAATCTTCTCTGATTCAGTTAGCTGAGTAACCCAATCTCTAATTCACCTATCAATATTTGTGTGTTGGTATATTTTGAAAATAAAAAATCATATATAGAGTATATGAATACAGAATAAATGTCTAAACAGATTGCCCAAATATTATATAAAACAGGTGACAGTGACAAAAGTATCTGTTCTATAGCATGAAAAAAACTCAGATATCTTCCTAGTTTACCTTGATTAAAGCTTGTGTAGCAACTGCTAATTCATTTAATTCTGGTATTTCTTTGATATCTGTTTGTGTTGCATGATCTCTGCTGTGATATCCTATTTTTAAATCATCTGAAATGCAAGGCCTGTAAAAAAATCAATTTGAATAGACAATAGAACAGCAGTTGCATTAACCAGATTAATCAGTCTTTATTAGTAATGGATATTCAGGAATAAAGTAAGTATTTTTTTAATCATTTCACTTGCATGGCATTTTTTAAAGACAGGAACTTAAGAGTGTAACAAACACACCAGCAGCTTCTTTGTGTTTGTTTCATAACAGCAAATGTTTTCAATAAAATACTGAATAACAATGGAAATGTAAGCAACTCAATCGTTGTACTAAAGAACCTAAAAGAAAGTGCCGAAGAACAGAATGCATTCTGACAGCAAACAGACAATTTTCAGTGCTCTGTAGAGAAATCGGTCCAAGAATCCTGGACAGTGCATTTAGTTATGAGCTTGTTTTTCTATTTCACTGATAAATTTGATTATTTGATATTACTAATTTACTCTAAAAACACCTACCATTAATTTTTAATAAAAACCTACAGCATTGCATTGTTAAAAACAGAGCAATGCTGGCGCTGTCAGAATTCCTCTCTGTCACAAGCAGATGGTGTCAGACAACTCCTGCCCAGGGGTAGGTGATCCAAGCCAGCTTAATATCTTAACTGCCCTCGGAGGTGTTCTGCTTTAGGAGCATTCCAAAATATTCCAAGTACAGTTGAATACTACTGGCCACGAAGGGCTGTTTTCATCTCCCCAGGTTCCGTGCAGGAAACCTGCAGAGAGCCCCAGCCGTGCGGTGATGCTGTCAGATGCAACGTATCCCTGCTGGGCCGGGGAGCAGTGGCAAGAGGCACGGAACAGCGCTGAGCGGGCCGGACGGGCAGCTAGCTGAGACACAAAGGGAAACCAGCACAGCCTGGTGAAGGCCTCACCGGTGCTCGCGCTCCTGCAGGCCACATGGCAGCGCCAGCAGCTCCAGCGTGGCCAGCAGGCGGGCCCAGCGCAGCGGGCCGCCCCGCCTCACCGAAGCCATGGCAACCAGCGCTCCGCCCCGCCTGCCCGCCGCGCCGCTCGGAGCGGGGTGGGACGGGCTAAGCGGCGGTAGTGGCGGGGCTCCGCATGGCCGTGCTGTGGTGGCGGTTTGTGCGTTGCGTCACTGTAGCCGGCTGCTCGGCAGGTTCAGGCTCGGAGCCCTGCGTTTTATTTCACCCGTACGGAATTCATAGGTTATCCTGACCCACAACGATCATCGACTGCAACTCCCGACATCCAAGCCCTATGTCTGAGAGTGGTGTCCAAAAGCTCCTTGAACTGTGCCGCCGTGGGGCCGCGCCCGCTGCCCAGGGCAGCCTGCTCCATGCCCACCGCCCTCTGGTGAAAAACCTTTTCCTACTATTCAACCTGAACGTTTAAGTTATTGCCAGGCCAGGGAACACATCTGCCTCAGGGGCATCAGAGCATGTTTCAGAGGAGATTGGACAATGTACCACTGCACCCAAGTGCAGCAATTCTCTCAGCATCTCCATGGCCTTTGGCTTGACCCAGCCCTCCTTGCTCCAGCCTGTGTGAATGTGGAGGTGAGGAGCCCAAACGGGCTCTTTGAACTACGTAAGACTGTGAACCAAAGGTGGAGGAAATAAGGAATAGTGGCTTGTGTGACAGAGGTAGAAGAAGAAAATGCAATTTCATGCCGTTTCAGACTGCAGGATAGAAGATCATGTCAAATGTGAGCATATACGTTATTAGTGGTCTGTCTGCTTTCATTGTAGTAACAAATGTAGGCGTTGACATTTTAGTGTTGAAATGGTTGAGACAACAGTGAGACGATCAACAGCAACTGTGATTTTCTCATAATTCTCCCTTGACAGAAGTCCATCAGAGTATGGGCCATCTGCAAAAACAATGTAGTTATTAATATTTGAATGTTCTATATGAACTGTAGTGTTCTGGTCTCAATAATTTTAGCATTTACACTAAAAATCACTTCAACTTTGCTCAAACTCAAGCTGCGTGTAGAAAGCACGAGTTGAAGGGCAAACATTTATACCACTCTGCTCTCTAGATGTAGGAGCAAAATAACCTCCTACATAAACAGAAACCACAAGGATTTTTAAACAGGATGAGCCCTTTTAGTTTTTGCTAGGATTAACACCATATGTAAGTTCAGTGATATATAAACTTTATGGACCAGAAATTATTGTAGGCATTGTTTAAATAATAAATCATTTCTAGTATTTGGAGTCATTAGTGTGGGTGAAACCTTCCTAACCTCAGCATATGGGATTCATTGGCTTATAGAAAAAAATTGCCTTTAACGACAGAAACTAAAAAATAAATTTTTAATTAAAATTCTCTTTTATTTATTTATTTATTTGTCTATTTATCTATCTATTTATTTATTTTAAGCTCTGGGCAGCATTTCATTTTATCAACAAGAAATATGGAAAGGGATACAAACTAACAAGTTAAATTTAAATTTTTAGAATTGTTCTCTTTCTCAAGCTCAAGGTGAAGGTGAGACCAAAGCCATCTCTATATCAAAGAAATGTAATTGGTAAGAAATCTAAGTTAGCTATACTACCAAAAATAAGTCATCACTTACTACTTTCAGAAATGTTACCTGAGTTAATATAAAAAGGGAGATGTCATTGTTATGCCACATGCAGAGTGGTACTTTAAACCAATGCTTCTGACTTTGGTATTCTCAGGCTTTTTCTTTCAGTTTAGCAAAAATGGTGAAGGTAATTGAGTGAAAAGCAGAAATTGTTACTGGACTTTCAAAGCCCATTTGTAAAACTTGAGTTACTTTTGGGAAACCTTCCAACATGAATAATGTACAGAAAAGCGCATTTTCTTTGGGGAAGAAGTATAATTTGCCATTGGAAGCAGGCAAAAAGTTTATTAATATAGGCTATAGCATGTATGTACAGAAACTATCAAAAAATTACATCTGTGTTTTTCTGATCTATAGGAATCAGATTAAAGGTCAAGAAAGCTGGTTTTCACAATCCCATATATTGCTTGGATGCATGCAAGAGCAGTGTCAGGGAACTGATCAGGTGATCATGTTTATTTGTGAACATAGAAAATCCAACATTTTTTTGGTGATGTATTTCATCCTGACTTGGTTGTTTTCTTATTATTGATTGCAACCTGGTCATACTATTCTAACTACTGTGTTTATGTTAGTAGCTTGATGCTTCACACTATAATTACTGCAGTCATGATAACCTTGTTTATTTAGAAATGTCTTTGCTGTATAATCTGAACAAGGCTAACTATTGAATCTTTTAAGATAATAATCAAGTTATTTGTTTTTGTTTTTTTTGTTTTGTTTTGTTTTGTCTTGTTAATCCAATTCCCTGAAAGATGTTATGATATTTTAATCTAGTTACAAGCTGCTGAAAATGCATTTGAAATGGTGCTGTTGACAAATCTTAAATAGTATCATTCATGTCATAATAAAATATTGGCTTTAACTTAGCAAAACACAGTTGGTTCTCTCTCCAGGATAGCTGTTCTTTCACGGCCTTCTGTGTATTCACAAATGGGAGGCAGGGCTTTTACATCTGCAACTGCACCTCACCAAGCTTAGATGAACGTGACCTCTAAGGAGCTGATGTTTACAGTAGCACATAGCATCTTTTAAAAACAAGGTACTTGCTTATTACTTAACTAAAACAGGGTAGGAGTCTGTTATGTCAGAATGGAACAGCAAAGCTTTTGTGTCTGTACATGGTATGCCTGTCTGTCTGTATAGCTTGGAAGTATCCAGATTCAATGACACAATGGAATTGGCAATAGACAATAAATCTCTCCCCTTTGATCTACCTCAGATTTTGCTTCAGATTCTAGTTGTGATAATTTTACATATTCTGCCTCATTTGACTGACAGTCATCAATAGATAATTTCTAATGGAGTCTCCAAGGTAACCAGGCTTATGTGCTAACAGTTCTTGACATTTTCTCTTACAATCCAAAATTTATCTTAGTCCCTTATTACACAAAAACAAGTAGAGATGGCTGCAATACAAGTACGACAATTCAAACAACATGTGCATTTCCTGCTTTTTCCTGAATATAACAGGCACTGTTGACCTGAGAAAAATACAATAAGTCCATTTTATTCTGTCTGTGTTGGAAAAAGTGAACTGATCTTCAGGCACATAGCTCCTTTCAAAGGCCAGTGAACTTCAAACAAAATATAAAAGACAGTTGCTCTTTGTTGAAACTAATGATGTTAATCCCTCAGAAAATTGGGGGGAGGGGAAAATAAAGTAGTAGTAGCACTTTCAGAAGAGAGATGTATTTGCAGGTGGAGAGGATGACAGATTGTAAATCCCTTGGGAAAAAAAAGAAAAAAAAACACAACAAAACACAAATAGAACAAAGAAGCAGGCTGATATTTTGCTGCACGTGAAGATCAAAGTCTTTACTATTGCTACACTGTTATTAAGCCAAAATGGTCCTTGCATTCACAGGCCCTCCTGATTTCCCCATACTGCTGCAAATATTTTGTTACCAGGATCCTTTCATAAAAGTATTTGCAATTATGTCATATCTGAAAGCTAAGGCTATGAGTCAAGACTAAATTTATTCATTGCCAAGTTGTATCCATTTCCTTTTGGCTAGTGCTGTCCTTTAGCTTCATCAGCTCTTCTCACTCCCTAGTATTTCATCTGTCAGGTATTTATGGAGGGCCCTTTTCAACCTGTGCCAGATAAAGCAATTCAAGAACAGTTAGTCTCTTGTCACTGGTGCTCCAATCGTTTTAATTCCCTTCTGCTCATGATGCAGTCAAAATGTAACGTCCTTCAGCAGTATTGATCAGAAATAGATAAGGTATCCAGATGAGGTGATAGTGGTGAAGCTACAACAATTCCACAATCTGGGTCTCTGCTCCTGATGATTTCCCACAGCTGATATTCTGCTAATAGCAGAAATACTCACCTGTCACTGAGTGGATGTCTTCCATTTGCAACTCTGATTTTCATCTACCCTCGGAAGCAGCTCGATTTCTAGTCTCTGACTGTTTCCTATATGGTATTTCAAAAACTGTTATTGTAAAAATGCTGCTCAGCTCTATTGCCACTAGTGAAAGTCAACTGCACACCATATGGCAGGGTAATTAATGAAAATATTAAAGTCAGTCCCAAGACTGATCTTTAAAGAACTCCACTGCCAAATGTCTTTCAGCATAATGATTCCTTTAAATTATCTGCAGTTTTCTCTCCTTTAATGAGTCCCATAGCCACCTTTCAATTCTTGTTCTAATCCCCATTTTCATTGGTTTAGTAATGTCTCACGCTGAGCAGTACTAGAAATTTTATTGAGGCCCAACAAGATTAGACATACTAAATTTCCTCTAGTAATTTTGTATCAAATTCAGAGGGACATGCACAATCCCTTCTGTTCAGCAGAAAGGCCCAGATCTGTTATATAAGTTAATCTCAGTTGGGATTCTCACTCTGAATTACTAAGTAATTAATGTTTAATTTTTATAAAATTGTGCTTGTATAGAAATCATGAGAAGATTGCTTATATTTTCATGTATGGATGATGTAACTCTTAACGAGTGCTTCTTTGTAACAATTTTTAATGTTTCAAATAATCTGAATAAGTACAGAAAATCATATTGCTAAAACATTTCAAAATTCCTACAGATATTCACTCAAAGCAGCAGAAACATGACTTCGCTTTTCAGTATGACTGAATTGAGTTTAGATACCATTTTGCTGGGAGTTACTGGTACAAATTCACTAATATTCACTATAATTCACTTTTAAAATTATCTCATAATGTTGAAGCAATATTGAATCAGAAAAATAATAGTGTTTGTATATTTAGCTATAACAAACTAGATTAGGAAAGGTTTAATTATTTACAGAGTAGGACATTAATAAGGATGAATTGATGTCACCCCTCCTCTGGTTCCACCTGTGTTATTTTTTCTCATTAGATAGTGGAGTTAAATAGCTGCAATCTGACCTTGCCTTAACAGTTAATTCTGTGCTGTGTAGGTGGAAATAGAAC